ATCGCACTGACATTTCTGACAATTCGCTATTTCGCCAAGGCAATCCTTTAAATTGAAAGGGCACCTTTGCCCCCCTTGCCCCTCCTGGTAAAGGGCAACGGGGGCGGCTGCCCCTCCTGCCCCCCCCAGTTCCGGCGTCCCTGTCTAAAGCTTACTAGACAATTCCCATTATGGACTAATTTTTTTATCTTGGCAAAAAGTATATTCCCGGAAAAAGCATACTAAAACGAGTAAAATTGCAAAGTTTGGTCGCGAAATGTTGTAAAATGCGGAAAATATAGCCTTGCAAAGTTCGCAAATTTTGTATACTTTTGTATTGCGTACGGAAATTGCCACCACATTTGGGCTGAAAATGATAGCAATTTCCGCACGCAATACAAAAGTATCCAACATTTGCAAACTTTGCAAGTATAGCCTATATTTTCCGCATTTTACAACATTTTGCAACCAAACTTTGCAATTTTACTCATTTTAGTATGCTTGGTAGAACCCGCGGAAGGGTTTTTGGCAAGTTTTAAAATTAGTCTATAATGGCGTTGTCTATTAAACCCGATTTGTAGTCATACGGCCAGGTTTAAGATGTGCCTTGTGAAATACGTTTAAAAACTAAAATGGAATTTAAACCCATTTCTTTATGTGCACATGCTGTTTTTACTGTGATAAGCAAGAACAGCCCGTAATAAAAACTCTTTAGTGTAAGGAAATCAGGAAGACAGACTAATGTCCCACATTCATGCAAATATTGGTAAATGTTTAAAAGATTAAGACGAAAATGAAGAATAAGATTGTGCGGATAATTGCAATGTTTCTGAAAGTATCATCTTGCGTTTTCAAACGGTATGTAAGCTCATAATTGTGCAAGAAATGAATATATTATAAAACCAACTTAGAGAGTGTTCCAATCATCGAGCTTGCTTCTTTAATTTAAGATATTTGTCATGTTTGTTTATTATTTAGAGAGCTCAAAAGGGTGGAAATGGGAAAAGAGTTCGATAGTTCATCGTGAAAAGTTGATTAAGTTGCAAGATTATGGAAAAAAACATCCGAAAGAGATCAAGGAGGTTAACGGAGTCCGCTTTTGCTGCTCGAATAAGTTTTTAATTGGTAGAGGAGGCGACGGTACTAGAGTTTATGTTGGATTGGGAAAAGACGGATACGAAAGGGCTGTAAAACGTTTTCCCAGTGATGCGTGCGCTTGCGTAGCTGAACAGGAAAAGAGAGTTTTGAACGAACTTAACGCAACCCAGTCAAACCATGTCGTACGTTATTGGTTTTTAGACGACGAGAACGACAACGAATGGTTATTTTTAATCTTGGATTTATGCGAGGAAACATTGATAAACTATGTTAATCGTAGCAGTTTGGAGGATCTGGGAAAAAATGTACAGACTATCATTCAGCAAGTCTTAAAAGGTTTGGCTGATCTTCATCGCAATCCAAAACCCGTTTTGCATCGTGATTTGAAACCATCTAATATCTTGCGAGATGTTCGCGGTAACTGGTTGCTAGCAGACTTCGGAATCAGTCGAATCTTGACGACCGGTGACAGTAGCCATCTAAGCGAGCAGAGGGGGACGGAAGATTGGAGAGCTGTTGAGTCATATCCACGAAATGGTATGCCAGACGACGGCGTAGTACGTTACAAGAAAGAGTCTGATATTCAGGTAAGGTTTTGTTGGTGATGAACATATAAGTAAAAGTATATAAATATAGTTTTTATATTACTTTCAAAACAACGGATATTGTGAGCGTATACGTAGAAATAAAAGATATAGAATGTGTAATTGATCGTCAAGTATTTCCCCTTTTTTCGCAATGAGTGTGCATATAAATTCGAGTAGGAATGTATAAGTTGCTAGACGTATAGACTTTTCTGATAATTTTGCTATGTCTCAATGGTCTTCTTTTCGTGTTTCCTTGTCTTGTCTTCATGCCACCCATGTCGGGTGGCATGAAGGTTATATCTCAATTCTTCGAGCACGAATGTTTCCCTTTGATCTTGGTCCACTAACAAATATACTCTGGAACGTACTGTACATGAAACATGACCGAATTCCCAAATAAAATGGGGTCATTGGGGAAAGAGTACTATGAACAGTCCAGGCTATTCTGTACGCTAATATGCCGGGCAAACAAGCAATTTCTCAAATATAAAAGCCAAATTTTAACCGAAATGATTATTCTTTTTTAAAATTATATTAATTTTCCTCAATCAAGCATTTTTTAAACTAGCTTGCATGTTTACATAGTATTCACAACCTTTGAAACGTCATTATTTTTCTGACTGTAATTCAAGGGTAAACACGGAATGTACGTTCCTCCTATCCCTAAGGATGATTCTTTTATGACTATAATTTGGCTCTGTCATACATAGGTAGCCGGTATCGTGGCATTCTACGTTGTGACGAAAGGTGAACATCCATTTGGAAAAAAACGATATCGACTTGGCAACTTACTTGATGGTAACCCAGTTGGCTTGAGCATCCTGAAAGATCTTGTCTTAAAAGATTTATTATCCTGGATGCTGAGCCACGATCCCGACGAGAGACCATCGGCTCAAGAAGCGCTGAAACACCCTTATTTTCAGCCAGAAAAGAAGCAATTTGAAATGTTGTGCAAAGTGGGAAACCAGCCTGAGATCAAGACAGGGAATGTCAAATCAGAAGTCGTTCGAAAGTTGAACTGCAATCCCAAAGATTGGAGATCTCTGGCGAATCCCGATGTCCTGAAGTATTTATCCACGGATTCAAGGAAGGGGAAAACATTTCATTATAAGCCATCGTGGACGGATTGTTTACGACTGATGCGAAATGTCAAACAACACTGGCATGATCGTCTGAGGCCACGACCTGAAATATTCTATTTAGTTGGTGATCCCCAAGAATACTTCCTTGCCCTCCTCCCCAACCTTCCTGTCCAGATACACAGAATTGTCAGGTTGTGCGATTGGAAAGAACGACCTGACCTTAGGGAGTACTTCATATAAGATTAAACATGTTTGCGCATAAACTGATGCGAGAACCTGCTCAGACGGGAAAACACTAATATCAGCACTGTGACTGCATAGTTCATCAGCTGTGCACAATTTGAAATCGATGTCGTCCATGTTCTTGTGACCAGTGATGTATATGTATATATTGTGTTAATGTTGGACAAAGTGGGACATCAGGAGCGATGGGGGATAGTTAAAAAGAGCGGGAAAGGACGGAGAAAAAGGAAACATTACATTGTATACTAGGGGTTGATATTATTAAAAGAAACGAACAAACCAGTTTATATTTGGCGACGAAGATTAAAAAAAATCACTTATCCTGACACTGACTACGTCACAATCAGATATATACAACTACAAAGCACCAAAAGCTGAAATACCGACCACTATGGCGGCCATGACGAGCACATCAACACTATATTTTGACCCTGATTTTCATCCAGACGACACTTTACGTGCTTTTGACGAATTTATCCAGAGCTTCGAGCTCCGATATGATGCACAATATCCTGATCCTCCTAAAACATCTCTA